TATAGTTCACTTCATTTGTTTGACAGTTTGCAGCTTTTATTTATCTTTGTAATTTGTGTTACATTTGATGTATTTTGATTGATAGGATGTACCTCCAAATTCCCCACGTATGTACCACACTGTCCCCCCTTTGGCCAGGCCACGGGGAACATTATTCAGGCCACGCACACCCACTGACAAAAGGAGACGGGTGAGTCTGAAAACTATGGTACCCATTTTGCACATTCTTATTTGAGTTGGAACTTTACAGAAGGATCATAATTTCACATATGCCTTTGCTTCAGGCCATTCACTGTGAAGTTGCAGTATTGTTCCAGGAGAACTATAAAAAATCACAGTTAGATTGTATCAATCATGGAGGAAGGAAAACAGATGGAGATATGTATACGTATACTTGGGACTAGAGTATTTTCATTAGTAGTAATTAAATGACCAATAGCACTTGAACTTTTTCTCTCTCTTCTATATCTTTGATAATATTTGTGGGTACAAAATAAGTCAGTAATTTGGATTTAAGTCATGTGATGAAATGTAGCAGTTACTGTTCCAACAGCATCAAAAACAAGAAAAGCATACACCTGATCATCTCAGAAAGAATGACAAGCTGCGCATGTGTACAGTAGGCCTACATGTGCTTTGCAGGCTTGAGCCTCAGATGCTCAGTTATATCTCAGATATGGAACGCCAAAAGAGGCAAGAACTTGGAGGCAACACATTGATCGTTCTTCAACATCGATCAATCGTTCCCCTACATCGATCGATCGTTGCCCTGCATCCATCAATCGCTATTCTACATCGATCGATCGTTCCCTACATTGATCGATCGTTCCCCTACATCGATCGATCGATCTTTTTTGATCGATGAAGAAAGAGCGATGAAGAAAGATCGATGAAGAAAGACCAATGAAGCTACATCGATGCCAACGTTACGTACATGTAGTCTCTTCAAGCACCCAATAACCTGTAAGCATAGCCCACCAGCACACAAGGCCATCCCTGTTCATTACCCGTAAGTCTGGTCCCCAGCCAATTGAGTTGCGTGTTTATATCTAGTTTCCTTGTCATGAAACCGCTGAGAATATTTTCTATTTTTCCCTGGATAGGATGCCAGTTCATTGTGGGTCGCTCCCTAGCCACTATGGGCACCAATTCTTACTCCTAATGACTCAAATATTATTTTCCACACTAATAGCATTTCGGCAGAACTATTCTGTCAGAATGCTACTCAAAAATCAACCCTCATGAAGCTCAGTGCCAAAGGAAATTAAACCAGCTCTCAAGACCACCTGTGTTCATTACGCGTCGGTCTGGTCTTAGCCAATAAATTGAGTTGTCAGGTGGTTGTTTATGTCAGCTTTAAACCACGACAAGAATATCATTTCTATTTCCCCTGGATAGGATGCCAGTTGCTATGGGTCGTTCCTTAGCAACTGTGGGAAAACATATTTATACTCCAGGTGGATACGAATTTTATTTTCCACTCTGATAACATGCTGGCGAAACCGGCAGAACCGGCTGAACCAGTGGAACTATTCTGTCATTCATCTAGTTTAGCTACATGTATGCACTTCCATAACACTGATGAGCACACTATTCCCCTTTGAATTTAAAATATCTTGATCTAATTTGTCAACTTGTTTCAATACGACCCGTTCCTATTTTCATTCCTGATCCCCTGATACCCAAGCTAACACCGATAAGACTAAAGACTATCGCCCGGAAGTTTAGAGAAAACATAGGATTTAATAATTCAGAGCATTTGAACTACAACTGCGATACAATCTCTGGACATCATCGTTTGACTGATGAGTAAGAGAGGATTAAAATGGACATACTAAGAAACTTCAGAAGTTTTGTAACCTGGTATTATTACAAATGAAATAAAGAGGAAAACGTGAACATTTCTTTGGTAGTCTGTAAGCATTAACTAAGATTAAGATGAACTTCTGCCAGATAATGTCAATGAGGCCTTTGAGATTTTCTTACATCGTGTATGACAAAAATTTTCCACAGTGTGAGCTTCAAAGTCTTGAAGTCAAAACCACCTTGGAGAACGGAAGGAATCTATAACCATAACTCAATCAGCAAAAATCTGCATAAAAATATCTTCAGAATCCTACAGTTCATAATAAATCTGCCCACATAAAGTTTAAAAACAAATTAAAATGTGTTATAAGAATGGCAAAGAAAAATTACTTAGGTGAACAATGAAGACAGACATAATGTTAAAGGTACATGCATGGTAGCTTATTAATTCGTTGCTCGGTAAAACGAATGTTAAACAAAATCCGTCCTATTATACGCAAAATGATGCTAAAATTGATTTTTACATTGATATTGCTAACGCTTTCAATGATTATTTCATTAACATTGGGAAGAAAATAGCAAGTAAACTTCCCCAATCAAGCAGTTCATTTGAACACTTTCTTGATGAAAGATGTGCACCTTCTTCATTTTTCACTCCTGTTACCGAAGCAGATGTAGCACTTATTATTTCCAAACCTACCTTATTAGTTTGAATAATGAAAATCAGATCATTTATTCATCCCAATCCACTTCCACTCTTTAAAGGTCTGGTCTCAACATGTAGCACATCTGTTTTTAACTGTTGTCTATCCTGCCAGTGTATCAAGCTGTGTTGTCTCATGTCTCCTGTCTTATGTTTCTTGTCCAGTCTGAACCATCGTTTGTGTAAATAGGGAAAGCCAAAAGCCTATGCTTCTTTTTTCCCTACATGTTGGTAAGAATTTAGATTATCTACAATAATATTATCAAACTTAATACACCAGTTCCCATTATTTGTTTAAGAAATTTCACTATGCATGTATGATTTTGATGTACGTGGGATTCCTAAAAAACTATATAATTATAGTAAAATTTCTTTTGGTACTGAGCTTCTTGAGGGTTGACTTTTGAGTAGCATTCTGACAGAATAGTTCTGCCGGAATGCTATTAGTGTGGAAAATAAAATTCGAGTCATTAGGAGTAAAATGGGTGCCCATAGTGGCTAGGGAACAACCCATAATGAACTAGCATCCCATCCAGGGCAAAACAGAAAATATTCTTAGTGGTTTCATGACAAGGAAACTAGATATAAATACCCATCTGACAACTCAATTGACTCGGGACCAGACTTATGGGTACTGAACACAGATGGCCTTGTGTGCTGGTGGGCTATGGTTACTGGGAACATGTGTTATTTGGTGCTGGAAGAGGTTACGTAACGTCGATCGATGTAGCTTCATTGGTCTTTCTTCATCGATCAAACGAGATCGATCGATCGATGTAGGGAAACGATCGATCGATGTAAAAGAACGATCGATCGATGTAAAAGAATGATTGATCGATGTAGGGGAACGATCGATTGATGTAGGGGAACGATCGATCGATGTTGAAGAACGATCGATGTGATGCCTCCAAGTTCTTGCCTCTTTGGTGTTCCATACTCAGAGGAGGTCTTGCATTGATTAGATTTTGTCTAGGACACTGTACCTGTGTGATTAGAGGGGGACCTTCAAATTCTTTGGGTCAGAGGATTTCTGTTGTTCAGATTCCTTAAGGCAATGCCAGTGCTTCAGTTTGACATTATTTGTAGTTGAATGAGGGGACAGTATTGACGTAAAGTTAAAGGACAGCATCCACAGGGTGCAGTATGTGTAGAAGTCAGGTATCCTATTGAGATACTGTCAGATATGCTGTTGGAGGTCTTCCTTTTGTTCAGGGTCCTTCTGGCAATGCTAGTGCTTCAGTTTGATGTACATGTATTTAGATGCAAATCATACATACACATACAGGTACATGAACATCCCCTGTGTAGTGTCCAGTGTGTGTGGGAGTTTATGCCTGAGGATATTTGACTCCTGATTAGCCAGTAAAGAAGGCCAACTATATTAGATTTGCTGTGGGTGCAAATTTGTTGACGAATGAAAAAGTACATGTGTGTGCGTCATTACTGGCGATGTTGTTATGCAGCTGCACATACACATGTAGATGGCCAGTGCAGGGTAAATATAAGTGGAGGTGTGTCTGTGCATAGTCTGTGTGCTCATTTAAGTCAGACGTTCATCTTCATGAAGTGTTGCCCCAGCTGATGTTTCGTCCAAGTATAGGTGTGGAGGGGTTGTCTGTATTTAGTGTAGTCCTGTGATTATTAAACAACGACAGGCTTACGCAGAACCAGGCCAGGCAGGCTTAGAGCAGGGCGACAGGCAGGGTTTACTGCAGGTTAGCATCAGGCCGGTGCAGTTGACTGACGATCCCGATTGTCTCTCCACTCCCCTCCTCTACCTCTACAAACACCCCTGTCCCGCCCCCATGGCCCTGCCTTATGCTCCTCCCATGATCCTCCGCCTTCCCATCCTCCGCCCCAAGCAGCAGCAGCGAGTGGAGGCGCTCCGGGTTAGGGAGGAGCCGCGAGGATTCCATCCCCAGCCAGTGAGGGTAAGTCACCTCAGGTTTCCATCCAGCGTTTTTGTTCAGAAGGGGGATCCATAAGCAAATTTCCAGGGGGGAGATGGAAGATCACTTGTATTTTTTTTCAGGGGGGGTCCAATAAATTTTAAAAATACTTCTTACAGCCTGTTATGGCCTGGGAAGGGGGGGGAGTTAATGAAATGGTCCCAAACAATTGAGTTTCTCTCATACTTAACGGTTAAAAATACCACTTTGAGGGGGGCGTACATGTAGCCCCTATTTGCACCTTCTCCTCTCATTTGACGGGATAGGGAGTGGCATTTCCATTTGTTAAATGTGTCTTATTGCCCAGGTCATTTTTTTGCTTGGTAGGAGAAGGAATGCTATCGAAGACATGTTGACAATTTCAGAGAATGCCAGTGGTGCCCAGAAATATTTCACGCTTGACATTTTGGAAAAAAAATTGTCTCCATTAAACTTTGAAAGGTAGCCACAAATTAACCCCAGCTGTCCAGTTGCACCTTTAGCAGATAGAATTAATGAACCAATTTGTTCTCATTGATTAGAAAATACATCTGAAGTTAATTAAACAAAACTACATTCAAAGGCATTGGGACAGTAACAAGTCACTCCTGACAACGAGACAAAAGATTAAAAAGATGAGTGTTGTGATGTGTTTGGAAAGTGGCGGTTCCAGAATCTGAGTGAGAGTATTTCAACTAAAATGTTTCTTTGCATGCACTAAAGTATACTACATCATTGTTGAATGTCCAATCATTAGGAGTGATGTGCATGTACACGTAGATGCTACTGTAGTTACAGGATTTCAGGCTGTACATTTCAAATGAAGTCGGCAGCTTGCACATAATTAGGCTTAATCACAATCGGATTTCCTGAAAACCTTCTTTTTTCAACCTCTGCTCCTTGTATGTGTGCTGTAAAGACATAATTATAGCTTTTGTCCCCCTCTCATCCCCTTTCTGAGTTCAGGAACATATGACTTCACCTTGTACATTACATTTTCAACGTTTGTATGTGATGCAGAAAGCCAAACCCAAAGTCAAGCAAGATGACTCTCAGTCACTGACGCCAAACAATGACCAGGCGCCAGTTCTAAGGTATGGGAAAAGGGCAGTGGATTTGCTCTGGACTTTGTTTAACACATTATTTATAAATGATATCCTTCTGAAGACGTTCCCCTTAATCTTGTTGATTGTACATGTAGCTTGGGGTTGATATTTGCACTAAACTCAGGGTTCTCGCAGCCTGGAAAAGTTATGGAAATTTGTTTTCGTTTTCCAGGCCTGGAAAAGTCATGGAATTTTGTAAAAATAACTCAAGTCACAGAAAAGTCATAGAATTTAATTGTTTTGTACATTTAGTGCAGGAACCCTGTAAGCTTCATTTATGTGTAGATGTGCTTGTTTTTTACACACCATTCAAACTTTTTAGAAATTTTTGAATTTTTGAATTTTTTCCCCCTCAAATTTCAGAGGAGTGCTGTTTGACAGAGCCCCTAGTCCAGTTCCACCCCAATCTGTATACAAAAAAATCACCAAAATCCAAATTTTTGGGCCTCTGAAGATACTGCCACCACATTTGGTGAAACATAGCATGCTTCATGTATATTTTCTCTGAGTTGTCAATCAGAATTGGAAAGATCTAAATAAATCTAGACCTAAAGATATAAGAAATGAATATCTTACTACCCCTGGCATGAAAGGTTACAAATGAAAACCTGAGCCCATTTGAAAAAGCCTATAACATAATATAGTAGCCATCTGCGATTGAGATGTTGAGGCGCTGGTTGATATTCAGTCCTACACATGAGCCAGTTTTAGGCCTCAAATGATGGTGCCTTATGATCTTGACATCAACGCATGCAAAAGGACATTATGCTGATATGGATACTGAGGGCTCATCTATATGTACATGTAGATTTACATCCAACAAGATTCTGTTGGAAGCCTTTAATTTAAAGTCCCTGTGCGGCTGTGCTTGCTTTTGACTCATTTCGTAAGGTTAGGTCACATTAACTACATAATGCAATTTAATACACAGGAAGTCGGCCAGGAATTTTGTAGCCGCAGCCAACAGCGGTGTGACCCACCTTGAAGACCTGGGGCTGGAGGAACTGAGCTTGCGCTCGGTCAGCACAGGCCGAGAGTCCAGCATTCCACCGTCCATTGTCGAGGACATCCAGAACACCAACAGGAGAATGGTGGGGCTGGAGGAATGCTACAGTAAAATTTGCAAGGTAGGAATGCATGCATTTCTTGGATTTGAGCTCTTGCATTTCCTCAAAATTGTTCAAAAACAAGAGGTGATGCACAGCCAGACTTGTAACAGCCAGACTTGTAACAAGCATTAATTGTAACGTAGTGGCTTGAATCGAGTCATTGTAACACCAACTCAAGTTGAGTCATTGGGAGAAAAAGTTGAGTCGGGCCAAGTAGTTAGCTCAAGTCAAGTTTTCTGATCCGGCACTTGACTCGAGTCAAGTCATTTGCTTGCAGTGACTCCAGTCGAGTCATTTACCTGTCACGGCTCAAGTCGAGTCTTGGCAACCCCTCACAGCACCAGTGTCCTCATGATTGTTACTAAACCAAGCCATAAAAGAATGACTGTCTTGTGGAATGAGTGCAGCTTGTTCTTCCTCGGGTGCACTTCATGTACTTATTTTGTTTTACCCAGGGCAATCTGTCAAGTTTGCAGAGTCTCCTTCCTGCCAGGAAAGCAGCGGGGGCAACGACAGGCATTAGAACAAAGACAGTGGCAACACCACTGACAATCAGGTAGAGTATGAACCCATCTCAATCTTTATCAGTAAAGGATCTGCTGATTGTCGGTGATAAACTACTCTGACTAGGGACTCCTTTCTTGCTTCTTGGTTTTTTTTCTCATTTGGGTATGAAGAATAAAGTAGCACTGCTTGAAGAAGGGTTACCATTGGAACCGTGCTGTACTCATTTCAGTTTGTCAGTCCAAATAGGCTCAATCAATTTACTGCTTGAAAATGTTTCAGTTTACAGTAGCTCACCTATGATATGTATGTCTGCCTTTTTTTGGGGGGGGGTTACCTATATGTTACTGAGGCATTTATCTTCTGAGTGTCAATTTCTTCCCCTTACTAGTACTTACTCTGTGCAATCGATACAGCCTCTGTTAATTTCCCCAAGTGTTATTCCCACGACCTTCTTGGTCCATTCCTGGTTGTTCTTCTCTCTGTGTGTAAAACCTAATAGGTCTCTCAATTGTGTAATTGAGTTCTCATCAAGGGAGACTGAATTTCCTTGAGGCCATAGCCAGGCATTTTTCGTTCTTGATTGGTTCGTGTTTCATGATTGTCCATGTCAGTGAGACTGGTTCAGGCACTGTTAATGAAAAAACAGTGTTATTCTTTGTTAAATTTAGTGTTCCAGAAAAGGTTAAACTTACAGATTGAGATGGTTGATTTCGAGATTTAAATATGCTCTATCTTCAGCAAAAACTTCCTCCTTTTTTTTTTCCACACCCAGCTATTAATTACTTCCATGAATGGGGCAGTGCAGTAAAAAGTGAAAAATAGCACAATTTATGAGATTTTCTGACCAGGTTATCAACCTTCAGTTTCATTTTGTACATGAATGTTAAAAGAATGTTTTTATTATCCAGGAAAAACTTAAACTCTTGTGATTTTCTCTGGTTTTTCCTTTTCAAGAAGTTCAAGTTCACGTCTGCTGTCAGTGTCTCTAACAAGGTATTTGGTTTATTGACCAGGAGTTTTCGAAATCCGCGGAGTCCCCACTCCGTGGTGCAGTACAGTGACCTGAGGCACAAGTCAAAAGGCACAGGGGCAGCTAAGCCCCCTGTGCCTGCCCCTTACTACTACAGCAGCAAAGGCTTGCCCAACACCACCGATGACGGCGGCAGTAAAGTCAGGCTGACCCGCTTGCCTGGTAAGTACAAGAAGACATTCACCCCAACCGCCTCAAAGTCTCCAGTATCAAGTGGATTTTCTCATGCTCCTGGAGGGGGGAGAGGGAAAGATGTTTTTGACATGATTCACTTGCCGGACAAGTATAAAAGGAAATTAACCCGAAAAGTCCAAAATCCCTTCATACGAGACAAGTTTTGCACACACTCTCGGGGGTTAGTATTAAGGATGTTTTTTTAAAAAGGCCCTGTGCTGAAATGATTTTTGTACCAGCTAGACAGGTTTTTTAACAATAGCCATAGGGTTATGTTGCAGCGATTTGTTTAATTTGAAAAATGCATAGTGCAATATTAAAGTAGCATTTTGTTTGCTGGAATTTTTGTTGTGGGTTGTCCTGATTTTGATCAAGAGGCTGTTTGCAAGAGATGTGATTTAACTTAAGATTCTCCTCATAAGCTTTTCAGAAGAGATCTTTTTCTTTTCTGAATATCCTTAAACATGATTTAATAAATTAGACTAAAGGACTGCTTTTATAGTGGAACTACTGTTTTCTCTCTTCTATTTGTTTTTTGGCTGAAACATATCAAAGCTTCCTTTTTTTCTTTCGACCAAAAGTCGGGTTTTTGTCCGTCTCTGTATCTGACCGAAAGGGGGCAGGTAAGACAGAATCTCCAAGCACCAATGCACAGAATTTGATGTGAAGTGTCTTTCCAATACACACAAGTCAGTGTTTTTAGTCCAGCCGTTCCGATCAAAACTTTGGGCATCCAGGAAATGAAGATTGTTATTGGTTTTGAAAATGGTCCCTGGCCAAGTTGAGCCATTCATGAGAAACATTTTGGAGACTTTATTCATGGAACTGGGAAGAGCAGTTTTTCTTCGACCAAAGAACTTTAATTGGGGGGGCCAAGAGTCAAAGTTCAGATGGGCAAGGACAAAAACCAAAGAAAAATTATTGTTTCTTGCGTAGTTGCCACTGGTGAACGAGTGCAGCCAGCTGGTTGCTTATGGTTTGAGGTTCAAAGGGTTAAAGGTCAAGGCCATTGTTTTGGGAGGACACATGTAGATCAAGCCTCCAGAAGACTGAGGGGTTTGGGTGGCTTTGCTGTTGTATCTCAGAGAACACACCTCTGTACACATTTGTTTGATGAATGCAAAGTCACCACACTCACTTGTCAAACTGCTGCACTGAGTATATTCCGTAAACTGCCTGGGCACTATTACTGTCCTTTAGTGTATGCATACAAGTTTGTTACAGGATACAAAACACAGTAAGGAGGCCAGTCATATAAGCAGTGCTTCCCTAGTTATTATAAATATCTGTAAAAGTTTCAATGTCCGAAAAGATTTTCCACTGTGAATAAGCATGCAGGCTGCAGTTTGGTTGAAATGGCAGAGCACTTTACATTCTTACAAAGTTAGTAATTTCTGTTGCAGTCAAAAATGGACGAAACAGTTACCTTACTTTTTGACGTTTAAAATGGACACTGATTTATTTTTGTTTTTAGACCGAGCATTGATTTTTGTTTTTAAACTGACTCGCTCTCTAGTCTCAATCCAGTTATGGCCTCCATGCTGATACACATGAAGAATGGTAATTCTAAAGACATGCAAACAATGCAAAGACCATCACCGAGACACTGCTAACGTGAAGTTAACTATACCGACCCCCTTTACTGTGCTTTGTGCCTCAGGCATTTTAAGGGGTACGCATGCGTCACATACTGTACATGTACATCCCATTTATAATCATAGATCACATGGAAGTAGTACATGATGGTTTCCGTTTTCAACACAAATTACTCGTTTTTAGCTGTTCCATTTCATTGCAGTTGCTATCATTGGGAATTTCCCTCCTAATTTTATTTTCTGTTTTTAAAATTTTTCCCATCTTATAGCTTCCAGCCGAAGCACAGAGAGGGTTCTAGCTGCCCCAGGGGTCGGGACAATCAGTCAGTCTGCATTGAGCCGGCGGGCAGCCAGTCTTCCCTCGGACCCACCCCCAGGCATCGAAGGAATCCCTCCACCTAGCCTAAACAGTAACGCCAAGTTCATGGACTCAGAGGACCACTATGCGCATAAGGCAGGCTATTCGTGTCTAACAAATCATTCCCTTGTTTTGTTGCACTGAGTGTAAAACTCATAGGTTTAAGTACAATTGTTTGGGTTTTCAGTGATGCAAGTACATTTGTATCCATTTCGTTGCAAATAACATGGCATGGCAAAGAGTGTCCTTTTACCCTAATTAATTGATAAGATGAATACATGTCTAACTGTAGAATAATGTGAATGACACCAACCATTGTAACCATTCTTGTAAGGCCGAAATGCCACTTGCCTCAGGGAATGAGTTGGATTTGCTTGCTTTTATAAGTCAAACAGGCAGAACTCATTACCGCACATGCCGGATTTGGAATTATTTGCCAATCAGACATCAAGAAAATGAGGAACCTCAGAGCTCATTCCCGCCAATGAAATTCATGCTAGTAGTTGCTGCTACACGTAATCCCCTTACCACTGGAGCCAGTACCTAGTCTAGAGCATACTTCCCCAAAGCAAAACTTGATGTATTTTTATAAAATTATTCTTGTTTTGTTTCAAGAGCGTCAGTATCTTCACGAGACTTTGACAGAGCAATGATGGCAAAAAAACAACAAATACTCTATTCCTGCCCACAGGACGGCTTCAGAGTACCGAGCGGTACCCCTGCAGTCTCTGCCACGGACCTTCACAAGATGGGCAGTTCATCGAGTCTCAGTGATGGTGAGTCTGAGTCTGTACTTTAGAAGAGTTAGAAGTCTGTTATGTTGAAGTACAGTTGAAATGTTGGCCCCAGTGTTGCTGTGCCAAAAATACCAGTACATGAATGGTGAATTTCATGGCAGACCCGTACCTCAAGGAAACATTATTTTTAAACACAAAGTTGCATCATTTTTCTTTAGAGGCTTTACTAATGCTGTGAAATAATGCCCTCTTTGATTCTGTGGAGAGATAGCAAGAATTGTACCTAACACTTACCATCAGCACTTCAATGTGAATTAATCTAACCCTGACTCGTCACATGTTTTCAAACCTATTATGGGAAAGGCTGAGCTTCCCAGAAAATAGCTTTCAGCCACAAAGCTGTTATTGGTGAAATTGGACCACAGAAGCATTACAGATCTCTCAGAGTCTGATGAAACATCACCCTTTACGAGCTTTGCAGGCTTTCTGTGTTAATTACGTGAGAATTCAAAATTCAAAAAGCTAGAATTACATGCATTAACCTGTTTGTGGCAAAGGGTCACATATATTATACTACAGTTGAAAATTGGCATGCACAAAGTCTGCCATACTTACATGTGACGAATTTATTTTCCATGTTTTAACAAACGCAAGGACGCAAAAACTCCTCACCCCAAAACCCCCGGCATCCCGTCAGCTCCGAGGCGCAGCCAACTGTGGCACCACCAGCCAGCCCTGCCAGCACCCGTAAGTTTGACCCATCGACCGCCAGCAACAAAAACAACTCCCACAGCATCCCCACGGGCCTGACCAACGGCCACGGGTCAGCTAGTGAGTCTGCTAGCGACCTTGACGAGCCAAGGCCTGACCCTTTCAGCGCCAGGAGCGAGGAGGGGTCCAGCCGGAGCAGCACCCTTACCCAGGGGGATGCCCCAGGGGATACCCAGGGGGACACCCAGAGGGGCAGGTTGTCCCTGTCTTCCGTTACCATTGTGGTATCAGTTGAGAATGACAGTGGGGAGAGTCATGTGGTTGATCTAGAGGAGACAGTGGAAACGGAATATGAAGGTGGGTGTGATGTTACTGTGCTGTTTTTACGTACATGTACACATGTATATGTACTGCTTGACTGCCCCATATCATAGTGTACATGTACCGGTACCACAACTTCAAATGGGCCTTTTAAATGATCATGTACCTGTATTTAACTAGGGCATTGCCCATGTCATAGTGTACCACAACTTCAAATGGGCCTTTTAAATGATCGTGTATTTAACTAGGGTATTGCCCACAACAGTCCAGTATATCATCTCAACAAATATACATGTAAGCCCTCTCAAAGCAAAAGCTGGCAATGTCACTTTAAATTACTTATTTCTTGAAGAAAAATGTGTACATGTAGGTATTGATATATTCCAAAATCTAAACTGTGGCACTTTTAGTGCTGCGAATTGCAACAAATTCCATATTCGTTATTATGATGCATGCAACCTGATCCCTGTTTTGTAATGATGTGCCTAATGGTCAAGCCAAACAGCTTTGCAGACTGGTTTGAAGCACTGTGAAATATGTGACTTTATTTATGCATTTCATGCTGTTGATGGGCACACATCATTTCTTGTAAAGACTGTCATCTACCAAAGTGTGATAATAATGAAAAGGCTTGTCTTATACATGTATTCAAAATGAAAAATATTTGCAAGATCTCCAGTTTCCTGAGGTCAACAGGGTGCCCTTTTGTACCTAAACTTCCGGTGTTTTTGAGAGAGTCACATGGGTGTTCCTTTACATTACCTTCTATCCAACAACCGTGCTTCTCCATTCCTACACATTTTTGTGCAGTCTTCAGCTCGAGTCTTATAGCAACCTTGCTGCTTAGCTAACAACCTACAGGTACACTGCAGGCCCGAATGTTCATTGCCATGCAAGCTCGCAATCCACAGTTTAAATAAAGCGATCTGCAACACAGCTCTTTGCCAAAAGATTGCTTGATGCGGGAGAAATCCGAGGGCTGCCAAGTAAGCTTTCAGACCCTCCAGAGCACTTTTGGACCCCCTGGAGCCAAAAGGTGTGAGCACATTCCAGATTCAGCCCAGCAAACTCGTCCTCGTATCCCATTGCACAAAATAGCTTGGTGTTTGACATCTCTTGTTCCTCTGTTTCTCCCTTCACGCCTCGCCCCCCCCCCTTGCCATTGCTGCGGCCTCCAAACAGGTGATAGCCAAGCCGGGACATCCAACGAGGACTCTGAGCAGCTGATTCACGAGTGGCAGGTGAGTCCCTGACTGGATCAGTTGGCTGTGGCTAGGAGTAATATGCATCTGTGGGAAGTGGCTTGCAGCCACTAGCTCATGGCTACCATGGATACCTATGACATCAAAGTGGCTTAAATTCGTTGGTTTCACCAAGTAGTGATGTATAGGATAGTTTTGGTGCTCCACAAAGTGACGTACCATCCATAGACTTTGTGCACATGATACATGTATGTCAGTGCGTGGTGCGGCAACTATCTACGATATGTCACTTCATGGTGCAACTGACAAATTGTTCACTGCCAGATGTAGTAATCATCTCCAGCAGCCTCCTCAGGGTACATTTTCCAGCACTTCAGTTGCTTCATACATTCCAGACAAGGGCTTGGGGAAAAAAAGCCTGGTTGAAGTTCCGTCACAAACGTTCCTGCAAATGAGTATAATTGGGTTGCCTATGCCCTTAGTTACAATTGACCGATTGCTAGCCAGAAAAAAAGCATTCGTGGGAGTAGTGGTTCACTGGTGACCGAGCCTAAAATGGGCCTTTTTTTGCAAGGGGCTGGGCCATTTGCAGTCTGATGCGGCCGTCTAAAGCCTGGATTCCATATGGTCGTTTGTAATGCAGACTGTCTGCAAGACGTTAAGACGCACACATTCATGGAAGACACGGGGTGCGACGTCATTCCACCCAAAAAATTAAACAAATTGGTGCGTTAAACTCGGAAAATTTTCGCCCAAAATGCCTTAATTCAGTGACAATGTTTTCTCTTGAAGCCAAAAGATACTCTGATGTAATTTGTTAATGGTCAGCTATTTTGTTGATGATTGGGGCTGCATATGCTAGTAGTAAGGAAAAAATGGACAAAATGAGTGGTTCTAAGCGAAAGAAACATCGTTGTACGCCTATCGTGCCAGTGTATGTGCTTGTATACGTGTTTGTATGACTAGCAGTATATGAGTAGAAAGCACAAACAGCTCGTTGATAGTTAGAGTTCACCCTCTCTGTCTCCCTTCCCCATACTCACCAGGAGGCTTCGGAGAAGAAGCATGCCGAGCTACAGAGGCTTCTGGAGGAACACCAGGAGATTGTCTCCCACATTGAGGAGCTGGAGAAGATGACAGAGCAGGCAGGAGGCAGCAGCCGTGAGGCTGAGCAGGAGGGGTAAGCCATCGGCCTCCCCTCACCAGACTCGGTCATCGCTACCAATCAGAAGAGTAGGACACTTTACCAGAGATTATTTCATATGCCCTTATTTTATCACTTAGCCATACAATTAACACAAAACCCTTGAGATGTGATTTTTTTTCTAATCATATTCCAAATCTTTATGCTTTCTTGGTGACAAACTGGATGAAATTTAAACATGGCTTTACAGTTGAGTGACTTTGTTCTCACTTGGATCATCAACCCTGGTTGTAATTTCTGGACATGAGGACCCTCTGCACAGGAATATCCTCAGCAGAGACAGAGATGTCAGACATGTGATTATCATTGCCGCTGAGCACACCCTGTACCTCAACACACGGGGGGCTTGTGCACATTCCAATGAAATTTGTTCTGCACGCTATGCACGATACCGATTCGTGCACAGCAGAGGGTGGAAGCACTCTTACATGTACAAGTTCTGGCACTGGACAGTTCTCCACCATTCAACTTTACTTGTCCAAACCAAATGGGAGACACTGCACATGATGGCTCATCTTACTGTGACCGTCAACAGACTAGCTAGTGATATTTGAACACTATTGAGTCTAATTTTGGGATCCTACCGGAGTGTTAAAATGAGGGCATGTGAACTACAAGCAGTTGTCAACGACAATCTTGAATTCTTAAACTGCATGTTTATCTTCCTAGAAAGGAATTAATCAGTATTTTTGTACCTGATATGCTTTTGTTTACTCAATGTTTAATGGCCAGATTTTTCTCTGAACAGTTGTGGCTGCACCTTACCTCAGAAAATCCTAACAAATGCTGTGAACAAATAATTGATTTGTCCTGTGTGGCCTAAAGAGGTGAACCTGCATAAGCAAAGCACCCTGAAAATGTTTCTGCATTCTGTTGAGACTTCACCGAGAGTGTCAGTGATTTATAGGATGTAGGAGAACCAGTGTAATGTTACCGCTGTATTACTTCGCTGTGTGTTATTATGATGTAACTTCATGTGACTGGCCATGTGTGTTTCTGCTTCTTTAATAAGAATATTTATTACGCTTGTTAGTCTTGAACGCAGTCTGATTTGCCTTTGTTATTAAATTGCTTGCTTAAAGCTGCAATTGAGACTTTTCTTTTTTTCACATTGATCTTTTTTAATCATTCAAGTGGGAATTTGTCATTTTATCAATAAAGGCTGAAATAGAACATGTAGATATTCGAGAAAGAGTTCAAACATTTGTTCAGGGAGGTCAGTTCATTCGCTCTGTGGTTTACCACTGTTGTTTTTAATTTTGTTAAGGTTGTTTCTTTTTCATTTCTTGGTAAAATTTGTTAACATGCTTTCGGGTCAACCTTACCAGTAACTGTATTCCTAAAAGTCCAGTATTGTACATGTTTAAAATCATTTCATGATAATTCAGTGATAAATTTGAAAAGATACCTATTTAGCCCAGAGTGGTATTCAGGGCTGACCTTATGTTCATGTTGGGGGGGTTTAAATAGAAGCTTCCAAAGTACAGTATTTCATTTGGATACGTTTGGCTTGTTATAGCGGTAAACCAAAGTTGTAACATAGCTAATGTGCTGATTTTTGTTATCCCGAATTGTGGAGTTCATTTGAGCTGTCTTAAAATCGGTTGCTGAGGGTACTTTACAATCAGGAGGGTGCCTCTTGTGAAATAAACTGCTTTGTTTAGATCACGCATCCTGTATTTTTCCCCGTGAAATGTGAAGTAAGTTCTGTGAATGTTCATCTCGGGCAACTCACTTTCTTAATTGCTGTGACTTTTTGTCATTTTTGTGATGAGAGGTGATGCTCATTTGTTTCCTCTCCTACTGTCAGATGCCTCATGATTCACGTGGTTGTTCACGTGGCTTGTCTGTTTTTAAATGTGAGAAGAAAATCCGTCCAGAACTGTCACCGGTTATGACATTGCAAAGGGAATGTGATATCTGTGCGTCATTGTGTGTCTTTGTAAATATTTTTACTGCCATATGTCTTATCAGAGTTGTAGGGGGAAGTTGCCATTCAAAAGCTGTCCATAAATACATTGGGAAAAGTGATCATTGGGTGTCTTGTGAATTGACGATATAAATATAACTGCCTCAACGTTTTGTTTTGTGTTAGTTTTGTTGTTGTTGTTGTTGTTTTGTTTTGGGGGGGGTCTTTTTTTCTGTCAGGGGTAATTTTAGGTTACTTCCCAATCACCATCACCAGAAAATTACCTCACAATTTGAAGTAAATTGTTTTTTTGATCTATTAGAAATCAATACAAAGGAATTCACAAAGGCAACATAATAAATTTGATTAATGCATGTCCTCCAAAGGGAAACCCTGTAACACTGGCATCATCTTCGAACTTTTAACTCGTAAGGATTTTTTCAACAAGCCCTTTTCCGTACTGAGATGGGGAACACTGTACGTTTTTAGGATCGACTGAGTCTGTGTTAATTAAGAACTTGGATTTCAAGTCAAATTTAGCTTTTGTAAATGTCACGAATACACTTCACTTGGCGAAAAGTAAATCTTGCCTTTTTGATAATGAAATTTTAAACTTAATGATATAATCTATGCATTGATATTTTGCAATTGAAAAGGAGCCTTTGGTTTTGTCCCATTTTTGGACCAAGACAATTATATTCAGTGCAGGGAAGAAAATGATATTGGAAATCAGTACGCTTGGTGTTCGTGCCTATAGCTCTGTCTATTGTTAATACTTAAATGTATACCGCACTTGAAAAATTAAAACGTGGTCGTCACCTTTCAATTTTTTTGGAGCCACAACGCTGTTTTTGTGTTTATTGGTTTGTCTCGCCTTGTGTTCTGCGACCCTGCCAATTGACTTTCCCCCTTTCGCTGGTCTACCGGGCCGACCATGAAGTTGAAGTCAGAAGATTAAAACATTCATATGGAGGTACTGTTATGTGTCCGTGTCGATTTCAGTGTACATGTAATTGGTGCGAATTATGGGAATACGTGTTGTCACACAACCCTTGAGAGATCGAGAACTAATAATGGTGGGAAGTGACTCCCTGATGCCCCTCACCCATCCCCACTCTGTCTGAAAGTTCAGAGGAAAAAACGAGAGCTTTGTGTTTAATATTGTGGCCAATGAACACCTTACCCCATGTGTTCCTGAAAATATGGGATGGATGGAAAACGTTTCTTTAAAGTGGATTTTTTAAACAATACTGACCGACTTGGCAAGAGTTTGTATTCCCTTTCCACTGCCGAGAAAGAAACCTCAGTGAAAGCAATATGTTATATGCGGGATTTTTGCACGTATAGATTCCGATATTGTATGTAAAATAAGTAATACAGGTTTCTGAAGGAAATTTTTGAATGTCCTATGCATTTGAAGCGTCAGTGATGGATCCCAGTTTTATATAAAGCGCTGATGTCTAACACAAACGTATCAAGAGCTGGAATGGCTCAGCGGTTACGTTATTCATGAACGCAACTGTGGGCCTTAGCGTGGTCAATCGTGGGTTCGAATCCCAGTGGTGTCGTTTTTGTTTTGAAACGTGCTCCGAATGCCAATAACTATAAAGCAGTAAAATGTTTGTCTAATATTACCAACAGTACCTTAGCCCACGGGGTAAGCTCTTCTGC